CTGGTTTCTCCATAACTGTGGTGACATCGCCAAAGAATAGCTTCTTGATGGCGTCTCCTTGCTCGCCTTCTCGTAAAATACTATCGCCCGTTATGGCGCAGGAGATGAGGTCAAATATGTTGGCCATGACTTCTGCGGCGTCCTGCTGCCGAGCGCTCTCCTCGATTCTACCAATCTTTGTACTTGATTGAACAGCGGGCTTCATGGCCGGCTTAGGGTCTGCTCGTGGCGGAATTGGGGGAGGTCGAGTCGGTGGAGCGGGTATGTCGCTCTCGCTCTTGCTTGCTGAACCATCATCGGCCATGACCAAATCAGCAGATGTAACCGGGGCTGCATCGGTATCATCCATGACGGAGTCCGCAGGCTTTGCCTCATCGCTATTCACGACTGAACCTGCCGGAGCTTCTGCGGGAATTGACTGCATTGCCGCAGGTGGTAACATGGGTCCACTGACCACTGCTCCGTCGATGGTACCTAAACCAGTGCGATCGGTAGTGTCCATTGGCGGTGACTGTGTCGATTCTACAGGGTTATCCGATTTGCAGAGTGCGAGAGAAGCAAGATCTATCGCAGGCTGTACCGTCTCTGTTGAAGCGGTCGTCATTTGCTCGAAGAGAGCCCGTAACTCACGAACGACTATCCAAAGTTAATCTTGATTCGCGCCAAGGGAGGTTAATACTGACATTTCTGTGCCGTCAAAACCCTTTCGGCTGTGACGAGCATGCGCCCAACTTTCTTGTTATTCAATGCTTCTGGGGAGGGGTCTTGCATATGCTTTTCAATATCGAGAATAAGATCTCTTAGAGGCTTGATAGTGAACAGGAATTGGAGTACGCTGTTCAGGTAGCAGGTATTGCCGATGTTGCGAAGCCCGACCGGCCATTTATCGAGAGGGTACAGATTTCGTCTGAATTCTGAGCGTTTCGGGTTGACATGGTTGTCGCCAAATCTTTGAGACTGGTCGTACTGGATGAGAGCGTGCGCTTTCTCCATTCTTAATCTTTCACTTGTGCCGATTTCGTATGTGCTAAGAACAGATTCTAGAACTGCAGGATCAAGCGGGACCGTTCTGTCTGTTTGGTCGAAGAGGGCGTATGCGTCACCTATGTCCATTTCAGGATCGCTCATCGTCCCGAATTTGGCAAAATGGCGTAGTCGTTCGCTGTTGCGCGTCTCTGCTATAATTTCCACAGCCTTTCTGGCAGTTTCTATGCTTGAAGGGTTGTCTTGAGTCTAGTTTGCGCGTTAGCATTCGTTCCAGACGACAAGCAGTCCATGTAGGGATCCGTGTACAGTACCTTAAGCGAATACATGGTTGGAACGAAATCGTCAGCTACGCTAGGATCAAGGTCGAAGAAAGCCATCGCTTGTTCGTACGTCTCGATAGAGCCCGAAGCTTCTGCTCGTATTTTATCGCTCTCACGCACGTCTCCCAGAACTCGTAGTTGCTTTCGCGCCTCCTCGGCTTGGATAACGCTGACATCGGCTAGGCGGGAACGGAAACATCCAATGATGTGATCGTCGCCTATTACGCTTGCGTGTGTTGGGTCGATACCAAAGTATTGATATGCGCGCTCGGCCTCCCGTTTGCTTGTGAGACCCTGTGAAGCCAACATAGCTACCTGCATCCCGAGCATGTCACTTTGGCGACCGGTCGCGAGATCCTGCAAGCATTCAAAGTAGTACGCCTTGTTCTCGATGTCAACGGCGCCTTGTCGAGAGAAGGCGAAGAGGATCAAGGAGTCGTCAAAGTCTCCAACGGCACCCAGACTAGCGTAGTAGCTATTTCCTGTCAGTAATCAGAGGACTGGCGAAGGTGAAGGCGGGGCACGTACGGATGATCTTCTTCGTGATTTGTACTGCGTGTCTCCCGTTCTTTCGCCTTGGCATCTGTGCAGCTTGTCAGTATCACATTGTGCAACGAGCGGCGCGTATAAGGACATACAATCTGCGCATGCTAATGCCCTTTCCATGTCGCCACGTGACGGCGTAGGATACATGGGTTGATGTCTACAACCCACGCGTTCGCTCTCTGGCATGTCCAATATTATGGTATTCAATTCATAGCGAGCGTCCTCGATCTTGGAGCGCAACGTCGATTCGAGAGGAGATGCGGGTTCCTCAGGCTTAGGAAGATACCAGGCTTCTACAAAAGTGTCCTCCTCTTCTTCCTGGTGTTTCTCGAAGCCCAGACGTCTCAGTATCGAGTCACAATCTTTACCAAAAGTCTTGAGAAACTTCTTGTTTAACAGCGGGATGCGCGCCTTGCCCTTTGCTGGTTTTAACGAGTCCTGCAGGTATGTGTTCAGATAATCAGGAGCATCGACCCTCCGTGCCATGCTTGTATCTGCTCGGTCGCCGGCGATCTGTTTCGCTGCTTCCCATCGCCTTCTAAGTTGAGCCTGGTTCGTCAAGGTCTCAATGTCGTGCTCCGAGAAGCACGGCGGTTTGATGCTGATCCGTACCTGGACCGAACATTGTGGGGCAGAACAGCGAAAGATATAGGTACGCGGCCGTAGCTGAGCCTCGAACCTAGCCGTGCTGTTTGCGTCATCCTCTCCTTGGTAGAGAAAGTGGTGCAGGGCATAGTCCTCGTTTCCCTTGCCACACGACTTGACTTTGGCAGCATCGATGCGATGGTCGACGAGTATATCGACATGCCAGCGACACTTGATGCAGTAAGAAGCGACCTTGTATACGGTACTCGAGGTTGGATCTTCGCCTGGCACGGGTAACAGCGACTGCTCGGACTTGGTAAACAGGTTGTGACGGCAGTTTCTAAAGGGCACGGCGGGGACTGGCGGGGGTTTGCTGTCGTGTTGCGGCGGGGGGCTGGTCAACAAGTTTCGACCGGCGCGTTCTTCGTGTCGTGGGTCGTACGTGAAGAGATCCTGGAGCAACCGCGGCGCCGTCTTGCCTGGAAGCCATAGTTAGCACACGCTGGTGGCACAAGAGTGGAAAAGGTACCGGGCGCCATGTCTGCTGGGGGTAGTAGCGGGGAGCAGCAGTGCAGCTTGTGTTATGGATGACAGAAAGCGAGGTGGAGTAGGACAGCACAGCAAGCACGCACGGCGATATGGGTGGAGAAGGGCGAAGAGAGGTTGCCAACGTGCGACTGAAGCGTTTACAGCGAGGGCATCGCGGGCGGCGACCGCCTAGCATACACTATACTGCTAGGTTCCAGAAGGAACGGAACAACTAGCCCGCGTGGACGAAGTTTCCACTCCAAGGGCTATGCATGGTAGAAAGTAAAACCATAGAGGCACAAGCGGCGAAGCAAACAGCCTCGCGGCAGTCCATGCGACAGCTCAAGGCGACGCGGCGCGCGATGATGCAGTGCCCGCCCGCCGCCTGAGCCCTGAGTGCCAAGACGCTTACCGTCTGGCGCAACTTGCCGCAGCCGACTTCACCAACGTCTATAGAGCTTCCAAGTCGACACCCACGCCCAATCCGCCCGCCATGGCCGACCAACACGTCACCTTCCACCCCCGGGACGCCCTCTCCAACACGGCGAGTACCACTCTCCAGACCACGGCTGTCGGCGCCGTCGTTGCCGGTGTTCAGAACACACTACGGAAGCAGAATGTCGGAGCCATGGGCATCCTCACCCGCTCGGGAGGCATAATCGCCCTATACGGTCCGTAGCAGGCCAATTGCACGCAAATCCATCACGATGAAGCTAATTGACGTGCAGCTGGTGTCGGAGCCGCCTATCAATTCACACTCGACGCGACCAGCAACCTGCGACAAAAAGACGACTGCTACAGCGAAGCAGTTGCTGGTTTCGTCGCTGGATGCGGTGTCGGTGTTGCCAGTACGCATATCCGAGACTCGTGCATGGCCTGGTACTGACAGACTACAGGACGGAGCCTTCCCTTCATGCTCGGTGCCGGAGTATGCTTCTCCACCGCCCTCAGTGCCTACCGATACGCCAATGGTATGCGCGGTGTCGGAGACATCCGCGACCAGGTCGATGACGATGGCGAGGTCGAGCGCAGGGAGGAGCTGAAGAAGGTGCGCAGGCGGCCACTATCCGAGACGCTCCAGCAACTGGGCGAGGGACGAGGTATGTTGAAAGGTGGGCAGCACACGCTCGCTGAGACTGACTCTCCTAGGAATCTATGGCCCCGGCTACGAGGAGAGGAGGCGGCAACGACTGTTGGAGAAGTACGGCATCGACGTCAAGGCAGAGCAATAGTCGGCTTGAAAGCAACAAACCATTTTTTGGAGTTTACCACAACAAATACCTCATCACAAACACCTGGGCTACATCTGGCTCGTGTATATACTATCTCGACAATCGAATTGTTCATCAAGATCGTGGCATTGTCTCTTACGCCTGTGGTGGGAGGAAGTCTCTCAGTCTCAATGTGGACCAAACAAAACCCCAATAGGCTCTGTTACGAATTGGCGAATACTCTGAACACTGATGTAATGAGCCATGCAGCCCAGGCTGTGTATAAGCTTGAGTTTCAGCTATCCGCTCTGTTCAAGGCCAATTGGTCAACGAGAAGAAGGCGCGCGATATCATGTGATATTCAGATGGCTCTTGACGATTTTCAGTCTGAATCTACTCATTTGGGTCAACAGTCTTGCTTCTGCTATCGGTGACAACATACTAGATGCTATTGGTGAAATGCGGGGTAGCGTGCATCCCACCAGTTCGACCATATCGCGTATCTCGGTCTTTACCTTAAATATGCTCGCTACTACATTGTTCTCGAGAAGAGAAAAAAAGTTCCCTCAAAGATCATTTTATCACTGAAATTGAGTAGGAGTCCAAGTCGCAGATCATGTAGACCAGCGTGTTGCATGATGATGATATTTTTGTCGCGCTCAATGCGCGTCTCTTTTCCAACCCCACCAAACCACCTCATGACGCGTGAACCTCTCCCAAGACTCCTCAAGGTCCAGCGCATTTGGTAAAGCGGGTAACGGTAACTTGAAGTTCTAGCGTCTTCGAGTCAATCAAGCTAAATCGCGATTGAACCTCATGCACAATGGCCGAGTCCAACCTCAAAGAGACCTTCTACCGCCAATTCCACCAGGATGTCGCAAGTGCGTAGTTGTAATCAATAGCATTAGATACACTAGAATAACACATACCAGCGCTCCAAAGGCAAATCGAAAGCTTATCCTCCCTGTCGACATCTGGTGGCGAGCGCAATCAAGCGATAGACGACTGCCTCGCAGGCATAGATCGATTATCCCACGATGTCCAAGACGCTTCAAGTCTTCTACCCGCGTATGATCAGCGGACATATAGCGAGGTGAGTTGTTATGAAAAAGTTTGAGAATGGGAAGATCGAGCTGACGAGAGAGTATAGACCATCAAGAAGTTGAGTGAGAAGTTGTCAAGTGTGAGGAACAGCTTCGATCCACCCAAGAAGTTCAGTTTCAAGAGCAAGAAGAAGGATATCATGAAACCAGAAGCTAAACCGGAAGTATTGGGTACATCGAGTGCCAAGTCGTCTCCTCTACTTGAACAACAACCATCGCAACCATTGCAACATCAAGAAACGGCGCAACAGGATTCGTTCACGTCGACCCTCTCCCACAAGTCGCATGCCCGTATAACTCTCGCTCAAGCCCCTTACGTCACAAGCTCACCAACGGTTTCCCATCTTGCCCACTGTGTCGTCGATCTTAGCGCTCCAACAAAAGCCGACGCACCCTTCGCCGCTCTTTACCTCCGCTCCATAACCTCCTCGCTCATCATTACCGGCCAAGTCGCAGGAGCAATCCACATCACAGACGTCTCCAACAGTGTCATAGTAACAGCGTGTCGACAGTTCCGTATGCATGGCAGCAAAGACGTGGATGTGTATCTGCATAGTACTAGTCGACCAATCTTTGAGGATTGTGAGGGCTTGAGGTTCGCGCCATTACCTGATTCCTACGTGAGTCCGTCTTTTGGAATTTAATAGCCTTTGTTCATATAATAGCGCTAACGATCGTGTAGAAGACACCAGAGATCGAGCAGTCAGCCAACCAGTGGAATCAGATCGATGACTTCAAGTGGTTGAAGGCCGAGCCAAGTCCACATTTCAACATACTCCCTGCAGCTGAACGTGTTTCTGAGGAGATTTGGAGCAGAAAGATACCTGGTAACGATGAGAGCCTAGATGGTACCCTGCAAGCTGTTGGTATACGGTGTCGATAAATGTTGTCTAAGACAAACGACTATACAGTCAAACTTCAAGACAAAGAAAGGTTTAATGGATATAAGGACTACTTTACCCGTAGATAGAACATGACAACTTATCTCAATACACTTCAGTTAGTCAATTATTCAACAATAAATGACCAAATGGTCATCCAATTTCCCGTCAAGCCCACCAGTATCTGCCAGGCAGATTGTTCTTCACGAAACGCCCTCATCAAGATTTCACAATACACAGAAGATGATTTTTGACGGCCGTAGTGAAAGGTGCTGTATATTGTATGCTGATTTGTTGCGGCCGTGTAACTGGTAGTACATGTGAGGAAAACCCTGCCTAGCTAAGGAACTCGCCCTAAAAAGATCATACCATCACCCTTTTGCCCGAAAAAAAAACCACGATAAGTATGCATAAAGAGCCAGAATGCTGCATGCTAGACGCGATGCGCGATGCAAGAATGCCCACCAGGCCGACCTACCACACCAACAGCACACTTCTGTTGTGACGGAGACCAGTTTGCGCGAAAGAGATAACTCACTGGCTCATGCGAGATGAACGAAGACGAGAGCGACGACGATTGCTGTGAGAGACCTCTTTCCGGCACCGACGATATGACCGGTGTTGATAGGGACTTCGATATAACTGGGAGAGGGCGCAATTATCGTACCGTTGATGCCGCCAGATGGGTGTGGGTAACTAAGAGACTGGTTAGTGGATGTTCAAGGGTACAAGGAGACTGCAAGACATACCCGGATCCGGAGGGATAACCAGAAACACTGGAAGGGAAGCTTGTCGCTACAGCCTGTGTGTCCGTGTTTGTGTTGTTGTCAGCCCCGTTTGAGGAAGGTTCTGTAGTGACGTATGAGGTGAACGTTTGCGTCTGATAGCTCGTAATCCTAATCGTGCTATCGGTGACGGTAGATTCAGAGCCTGCTGAGTGCGAGGGGTTGGGGTAACCAGATGTCGCAGACGTTCTAGCCGGATATGTACCAGAGCCAGTACCCGAAGATCCTGATGCAGTGCCGGATGAAACAAAGTAGCTACCTGATGAAGGCCCAGCCGATGGGCCACCAGACGGAAAAGAGGTGGGCACAGCATCCGTCTCGGATCCTGTGAGGAGCCTGCTTGAGGAAGGTCCAGCAGAGCTGGCACTTGGCAAAGATGCTGTGGGAGAAGAAGGTAGAACAGCAGTGCCCGAGCTTTTCAGTATGTCTGAGCTACCCGGTGGCACAATGTATCCACTCGTAGACAGACCAGCAGGGCTTGAAGAGATAGCCGATTTGCTTGATGACATTGCATACCCGCTTGAAGATGGACCTGTGGTTAACGAGACTGTGAAGGTAGTTGGCACGGTACCTATGTAAGAGCCTGACTGTTTAGTCGAGATGCTGGAAGGAACGTTGTATCCACTCGACGATGAATCAGTAACGGTAGCACTGAGGGAAGTAGGCACGGCATCTGTATTGCTACTAGGTGGGGTTGCTGAGCTGGAGGAAGCATAGCCTGGCGTCGAAGGAGTAACCGAGTTACCGGAACTGGGTCCCAGAGATGGAGTGACCAACGAGGTAGGTACTGCATCGGTGTTGCTGTAGGATGGAGTTTCTGAACTACCAGAGGGAACAGAGCCCGGGTATGACATAGATGAGACCGCTGAGCTACTGGGAACCACAGGAGCTGGAATCGTGAGCGATGAGACCAATGAGTTATCAGGAGGTGCAACGTATCCAGTCGAAGAGCCGGTAGGACTGAGTGTAGTTGGTGAACCGGAATAAAACGGACTGACGACATCTAAGGTGGTAGATGAAGGGATCACAATGACAACGCTTGACCCAGGATACACAGACGTAAGGGTGACAACGACAGGGCCGTTGTAAGACTCCGACCGAGTGATTACGCTCACACTAGGCACCGTGACATAGGCGCTTGAGGAGACGTCCGTTGGCAGTACGCTTGACTGAGGAGCAGAGCCACTGGGATATTCGGAACCGGTAGGAGAGATCGAAGACCCAGGAATGGTGCTGACAGTGATGCCTACAGACTCGGTGGGGTATGTAGAGCTAGCAACGGATGAAGAATTAACTGTAGTCGCAGGTGGTCCATACCCGGGAGGTGTGGATGAGAGAAGACAGATTGTTGTTGTTGCAGTGACATAAACGACGGATGTCTGGGCGGTTGTAGTATAAGGAGGGCAGCTCGCGATATCCGTGCAGATCTCGGAGACTAGATGAGTTGACGTGACCATAACGACCATGGAGTGCGTGTCTGTGAGGGCGCGCTGGACATCTGTTCACATGTCAGGGTTACCTGATCGTTCAGGATCGCCAGATCTGGCTTCGAGGAGTGTCGCTACCCTATTGAGCAGCAATGCTGACTAGAAGATGGCATGGAGGAAGTGTATGACTTACGAGGAGCTGCAAGAGGCTGGACTGCGAGAGCAGTACCTCCGAAGATAGCGGCAAGCTGAATAACCTTCATGTCAAGCGTCGGGCTGGCAGCTGAGGCGAGGTTGGATAAGAGAGTGCACCTGATGAGCAAGATGATCAAAGGGCCAGATCAGTTGCCGAAGGAGGGCGATGATGGTTGTGGCAAGCGAGTGTAGGAGGTTTATGTGGGCAGAAGAGAGATGATAAACACTGGGCGATGGACTATATCAAGGGAGGCACGAGTGCCAAGGGATGGGCGACCTCTGTGAAGCTTTGAGGTTAGGGAAGGTGCTCTCAGATCACAACAAACAAGTCCAAGTGGCAGGGGAAACAACCCTCGGAGGCCACTGGGATGATGTAAAACTACGGCAATGTCACGAGATAACCTTCGGCAGCTCCAAGCGCGATCGCAAGAGACCAGTTTTTCACTTCAAGGCCGAGTGAGGCCAGAATCGCAGATATGCCTAATAGACGACTCACGATGCCGTCCGAACACGCTATTGTGGGAGATCGGGGTCAACAACATGGAGTATGAGATTAAAAGAATGAGATTCTACATGCGGGTATACTATAGCTAGTCATCTTGATGCTTTTACCTCCTAAAAAAAAACGCCCGAATGCACCCATCCGTATATGAACACCTCAAGGCCTAGCTTGATGCTAAGCTCTATTGACGTGTCGGTAGATACGCACCACCGGCAAGGACCAAATTCATCCGGGTGAACTGTACCTTATACACAGGACTGTCTTTAGTCGGAAAGACGCTGATCTGGTCCGCCGATACACCTGCCTCCTTGTTGGCCTTCTTCCCCGTGACTGTGGTGCCACTTGCGCCCTTGGTCGTCATGGCGCCATCTGCCTTCGCAGCCACACCGTCAGCAGCCTTATCGCTAGTCTCTTGCAGTACATCCCAAACACGAACTGTCTTATCCGCACCGGCTGAGACAAGAACGCTCGACTCCACACTCCAAGAAAGCGACCAGATCCCGCCTTTGCCATGTCCGCGCATGCGCTTGCGTCTTCGCCCAGTTTCAAGAGTCCAGAGGATAATGTTGCCAGCATCGTCAGCGGATGCTAGGGTTCTGCCGTCAGGAGAACAGGCTATAGCAGTTACATTGCCTGTATGACCAGTAAAGAGGCGCAGGCAATTACCACCGGCGATGTGCCACATGCGCACCGTGCGGTCGCAAGAGCCGGTAAATACGTAGAGATTGTTGGGATGGAAAGCAACGCAGTCAACGTCGTTGTCGTGGCCAACATAGATGCGTAGAGGTTCAATGTGATCTGTTGACCACAGACGCGCAGTACGATCATTCGAACCAGTGAGGAAATAGTGTCCATACGGCCCCCATTGCAGGTCCCAGACAGGATTGTCGTGTCCGCGATACGCTACAAGACAGGTGTATGTATCTAATGACCATAGCCTGACGGTCTTGTCTTCCGAACATGAAAGGAGGCATTCTGAGTTTGTGGGCGGGCCAGAAGGATACGGATTTGCTGTGGAGGGTGAGAAGGCCACCGCAGTAACAGGGCCTGAGTGGCCAACAAGCCGCCTGGAAGACGATGGCTGAGCGTCTGGGTTGTCGTTCGGAGAGGTGAGAGGACTGCCGTCCATGGACCAGACGCGGATGTAGGACTCGTTCATGCCGGCTGCGACGAGCTGGTTGTCACCAGAGAAGTCGATACAGTTGATACTGTTACCGCGTCAGTCATTAAATTTCAGAGGGGTATAATGAGTTGACTGACCTGTCATACGTGTTATGAAAGGTGTACATGGTCACGCTGACAGCGGGACCAACACCGCCTGTTCTGCCTTCCATCTTGTAGCGATCTCGGTGCTCTATGATCTTTTGAACCTCCATAGAGACGTCGCGCGCTAGAGAGGGAGGCAGAGGAACAAACTCGCGCGAAGGCCCGTCTTCTGTTGGTTCCTGTTTTATGCGTTGCTCAAACTCCTCTACCAGACTTGGTTGTCCTGGTCTTGGCGCATTTTTAGCGTCCTCGTCTTGTAGAGCTGCTCGGACGTCTTCCTGCAGATCTGCCTCCTGTGGGTATGCTCCTAATTGTAGCCTGATTCGGGCAGCTTCCGCTTCGGGATCGTGGCGCGCAGTAAGAGGATGACCTGGGGCGTGTCCTGGAATACCTTCATCCTCCGCTGGGAGCTCGTCTTCGCCATGTCCACTCGCAAGAATTGCTGCAATGCTTTTCTCGGCGGTGGCCGTCCGGTCGACAGTGACGATGTTCAGGTGTTCCCGGATCACGTCTATTATTGTCGCACCACCGTCAAAATGCTTGGATTCGAGAAATTGAATGAGGTTGAAGAATGGCATCGTCGTCAGCGTGATCCGGTATTTGTTGTCGATGTACAGCTTCGCTATTCGACTCTCCTGCAGATGTGCTTGTAATCGCACTTGGCGAAGTGTCTTGATGTCTTCGTCGTGGTCGCGCTCAAAGAGGCCCTGGTACGTCGCAAAAAATGTTTCCGCGTCTTTCGTGTAAAAGTCGCGCACCAGGTCCAGAAATGAGTACACAAAGACGGGCCATAGCAGCTTTCGCAACTCTGGTCTATACAGGTCCAGGTTATCTTCGGTGTATTTGCGTAGAAGCTCGAATGCTTTTGTATATTTCGCGCCGCCTGCTTCAGTACTCTGCGCCGTGAGCGGCTGGCCGTTGGTCTGCGGTTCAGACTCCTTGCGGAGCATCGCCTCGGTGCGAACATAGCCTTTTTTTGAGAGGTACTCCAAGACCTGTGCAAAGGTTAGCAACGACACGCTCCAAGGTACAGTCATCCCCAGGTTGGAAGCAATTGATGCTCCAAGTGCGCAATACCATATTGTTGCTACTGGAATTCGCCGCATGGGCCTGGCTGTGCAACGATGCGCTCATATTTGACTGTCGTGACGTTGCTGGCCAGGGTGCAAAGCAGAACGCGCGAAGCTGGAAACCTGTCGCAGTAGAGAAAAAAGGTTGTGGTAGATATGTAGTGATAATGTGCGTGCAGAATGAGAGCTGAGCGGCGTACAAGGTGGAAGGAAGCGCAAGTCAAGAATATAGCCAAGGACAGCTTTCTTTCACCAAACGCGACATCCAGAACCAGCTGTAACAATGCGCTCTCACTCTTCGTAATTATACAGGCACCACAATAGCAGACGACGTGATGATAGGAAAAAGAGCTGTACCCACAATCTGGTTCAAGTTCTGCTGGGACTGCGGCCCTGAGGCACCTGGCGGCGGAGGACCGCCTTGTGGAGGCATGGCGTTGTGTGGTGGTAAACCTGCGCTGGGTGGTCCATTTCCTACACTCATTTGCCTTACAGGCCCGGGCCCTTGCGGGGGCCCTGACATGGTTGTGGTGTTGCTCCTTCTCTTCTATATTGGCAGATGGCTGCTCTTTCACCTCGAGGCTGGATGGAGACCGGTCGCAATGCGCATGAAGGACCGGAAACGCCTTCCGATGGTTGCTTCTCTGTCGCAAGTGGTAGTGGTGAGATATCGACGCGTGGAGTCTCTGTGTAGATAGGTGAGTCGCGTCTGAAGCTTCCCAGGACGTCACCGAGCCTAGCCGTGTTGCGGAGTGAAAGACGGAAGTGAGGTTCGACTCGCGCGGCCTGCCAAGAAGGCCGCGCGCATGCATGGCGGGCGGCCCTGAGCTTCCCCAGCTTCGACTCCAAGACACGCAACTCACGCCAAATACATGTCGCATTACTTTTTGGCAAACCTACTCTTGTCGCAGACAACCTCTCTTTAGCCTCATAAACCAATCAACCTCTCTGGCACTCTGGCCGCTATCATTGTCCACACCCTCCAGACATCCCACCATGTCCACCGAAGCCGATCCACAAACCGCAAACGAGATAGACCAGCAACAGGCCGGAACCACCAAAGCTTCTGAAGAACCGAAAACATATCGTGAGGTCGCTGCTGAACACATCGACACCCTCAACGAGATCAACCACCAAATACCCAAATTGCTCAAATATTTCGCAACCGCCCTTAGCCAGCTCACCAACGACCCCATCCCCTTCCAACATGACGCTATGGAGTGTACCCCTGGCACCCTAGAAGCGCGTAAAGAAGCTTTCCGAATCAATGCTCTCTTCGTCGGTGCGTCCTGCGAAGTAATACGAACAGAGTTGGTGAAGCAAATCAACGCTCTGGAGCGGTACAAAGTCATCCCAAAAAGCCACCCCAAGTTCACCGTCACGCAGAGACAAGGGCAGGGGCAGAAAGGCAAGGAAAGTGAGACGGAAGTTGTGGACCCGGAGAAAGAAGTCAAGAACGGAGGCTATGGGGAATTTGACGTTGGCGTGCTGAACGCAAGGGCGAGCTCGGGACAGGTTGGGACCGAAGATGTTTTGGATCGAGCCAAGGCCATACTAGAGGAGCTACAGAAACGAACTGGAGGTGCGGTAGGCGGAGAAGAATACATGGATGTCGATGGGTGAGAGTGCTAGGACGTATTGAGTGAGATGCGTCCAGCCGAGCCAAACAACCGAGCAGCATGCACGCGATGCACTGCAAGCGACGATCCTAGGGTGATGATTCATGCCCTGAACAACAGACCATGTGCGTTCAGGGATTTCAGGGAGTGTTGCCAAAGTGTTCATCCGAACGGGCAGTGAGTACCTGGAAACTAAAGGGCGGTCACAACGACCAACACAGCCGAGCCAGAGGATAGTTCAACCTCAAGGAGTCCAACAGCACCCTCCGACTCCCCATTATACAGTGTGATGGATGACTATGTGCCAAGTGCGCGAGTTTTGTCACTTTCCGGTAAGTGGATGTAACGAAAGAAGTAGTCTACGATACATTTACACATCAATCGAGCATCTTGAATACAACAGCGATAGCTTTTTGACTATGATCCTTGAGCCTCTCGTCCCTCGATGATCTAACGGCCTCCCTCAAGTGCCTTCTTCATAACTCCAATGTCTTCCGGTGTAGTCCTGCAACAACCTCCAATCAAACCAGCCCCAGCCTCAGACCACTCCCTCGTTTTCTCCGCCAACGTAGATCCTTCTGTTCTCTTGCCTCCCCACTTCCTTGCCTGAGCATTCCACTGCTCACCAGAATTGGGATACACAAGCAATGTCCCTCTCTTCACTAACGGCTTCAAGTTCTTCATAGCAGCCAACGCCAAGTCATCCGGTACGCAATTGAAGCCCAGCGCAACCACCTGTTCCACGTCATCAAAGAGCGCTGCGATCTCCGACAAAGATGTTCCATCGCTGATGTGCGAGCTGTCTCGTAGTGTAAAGCCAAACCAAGCTTCTGTCTTTGGAAACTCTGTGGTAAGGAGGTTCAGGAGAGCTTCGGTTTCGCCTTTGGATGGTATGGTCTCGCAGGCTAAGATGTCGACGCCCGCAGATACAAGGGCCTGGATTCGTCCGCGGTGGAAGTCCTTCATCTCTTCTTGGGGGATAGAATAATCGCCCCGGTATTCTGAGCCATCTGCAAGGAAAGCGCCGTATGGGCCTACGCTGCCCGCTATGAATAATCTACCGCGAACACCTTCACTTGTTTCGGTAACGTATTCATCTCTTGCTTGCTGAGCTAATTCCACGCTCTTTGCCACAACTTGCTTGGCCTCCTCTTCACTCAGGCTTAAGTGCTTGACTAATCCTGCAACGGACGCTTGATAAGATGCTGTGATCGCGACATTGGCGCCCGCACGGTAGTAATCGAGATGCGTTTGTTTGATTAGGGACGGCTGATCCAAGAGAATTGATGCGGACCATAACGCGCCGCTTATATCTGCTCCCAACGTCTCCAGATAAGTTGCCAGTGCACCGTCCAGGATTATGGGAGAACCTTTAGCGATGTGGGTGGACAATAAATTTAGTGGTGATGCCATGGTGGATATCCCGAAAAGAATGCGCGAAGAGTTTGGATAAGAGTAGATTATTCAAATTCCGACCAAGATTGAAATCTGATCGAGTGTGTTGGAGCTGTGTGTTGGAATTTAGTCATTGTCCGATGTGCGGAGTTTTGAGCGCCGATGCTCAATGGGCATTTGAACGTCCAAAGAAAGTCTTACTTAGGAAGCCGTTGACCATGCTTTAGCAGCACCTCCTATCTGCCTGACCTGCCCAGTTTCCATCGCACAAGACAGTGTAATATATGATGGCCTTCCATTGCCCGATCCGATCGTGGGTGGTGCGAATGCGTGTGATTTTATAGAAGCGGCGAATGAGCAGGAAGCGCTAACAGTAACTGTGGGTCCCTAATCGACGCGTCGCGAGCATCACTCTTCCACCTTGTTCCTGCATACACGACATGACTATTGCAGACAATTACCATACATGTCGGAATGCCTGCCCAGTATCGAACAGATCTAGTATATTGTTGTCAACCTAGCTCAACCCATCTTGAGCCCATATCGGTCGCCGCTTCCCTTCATTCGCCAGTCGGACCAGGTTCACTTCATCGGACAGTCAGTCAGAGGCATGGAGAACTTCGACCCTTCGTCTGGCCTTGTATACAGGGAGACTACGTCAGCTTCCGTCAGTTCAATGATACCAAAGTGGACAAGCCATTCCCGGGGTAGACGAATAGACCCATCGAAGCATCGGCGCCTAACTCCAGGATGCGATACCCTGCAATCAATGGCCCTCCGTTGTTGTATCTGGAACATTGACAATATGGAATCAGAGGCTCTACAATGGCTCAGGTGGTCCTACGCTAGTCGCTTGCACGACTATTTAAAGTTAACGTGGGTCGCAGGTCGCACAGAGACCCAAAGTGCGATGGCTAATCTAAGTGTCCAGTGACACAATGACCTTTCGGACTTGGAGTCTCTTTCGAAAAGCATTTCCCGAAGATGTTGATCGCCACTCTACCTTCCATGTGTATGACAGGGAATCCGAAGGTCTCTTACCCTCTGTCGTCGATCGCTTGGTCAAGCTCGACGGTGACATGCTGACGTTCCTCTGTATCCGAACCGTTGATATGGCAATTGATCAACTCGTTTCTCTTAATACCATCAATACGCTTGCGGTTCTTGCAATAGAGATTGGAAGCAACGATCGACTTGGAAAATATCGCGAAACACTGACCGTTCAAAGGCTACGCGACTGGGGTCGAAGCGTCGGCGAAAGTGGTGCTTTCAAAAAGTTGCGAGTACTTCTTATTGACGGTTGCAACTCATTACCAACAAGACTTGTCTTAGCGTGCATCTCCAGCTTTCCCAGCTTGAATATTGTTGGAATCTCTGGCCAACCAGATCCATCTGAAGAGGAACCTTACTGGGGGAATTGGCGCCAACATCCTCATCTGGAGTAAGTGACCTAGATCCAGACGTTGGCTCATTGAGGTAACATAGTTTTTTAGCCACTGGGACAAGATAAACTCAGACAGCGGGGAGAGAAGGTCTAGAACCACAATGGCTTCTGACATGCGAAGATTGTATGATGCCTCGCTCGAGTTGTCGCAAGACGGATCTCCTGGTGGTGGAACATACCGATCATTATCTATGCACTACATCCAACGTAGTATGCCTGACACGGCTACAGAGATTGCATGGTTTGTCCGTGAGCTGAAAGACGAACCTGCTCGGCCCGTGAAGCGTGTCCAACAAGACAAGTCTCGATCCGATACTAAGAAAAGGAAATTACGTGAGGATAAGAAAGTTAGCATAGGTTCGCTACTGGGAAGCTTTACCTGAGCACTGCATTGGCTGGGCAAACAGCAGAACCTATTCATACTCACTCAGTCCTTCGAGCGTACCCAGAAGGGATGCTAGACCATCTGGAAGCAAGAGTCACATGGTAATAGATCGGCATTCTCCAGCTGCGGCACAATGTCGAGTTTTTTTGAACACGAATGAACCCAAGAAGACCAGCTGGTCGTATTCTTTGCTTACTTGGTTTTTTTTTGTACACCAATACTACGAAGGGGGTCACATCGGAGTCACCAGCGTTCATGGGAGCAGAGGAAGTAGAGGGTCTGTGTGAGACCAATAAGGGTTTCCGTGCCTTTGTAGAAGGTTCTAGAAAGGTAAACAGGTCGCACCTGGCATACTCATGAGTCGTGGATGAGCTTCCTTTGCCTTGAGCGATAAAGCCTCAAGCCTGTTGGTGCGCTATGCGCTTTTGTTGAGACGGGTGACAGTGCGCATGCGCATGATAAGACAGTAGCACAGAATTAGGGAAGGCATCGTGGCTACGAAGACAGTCATGCCTCTGACCAACGAGGAAGTCTTGGGGACTGTGATATCGACCATGAGCAGTATCTACGCCCACAAACGAACATGAGGAGTGGTAGATGCAGGCATCCCTGGGGGAATGTGGATCAGCGCTAGTGACTGTTCCGGAGTTGGCGCTTGGCAGCGGGGCTGAGACCGCCTGCGGGCTCCCCCATAGATGGTCCCCTCGCCACCCTTCCCTTCGCCGATTAATACCCTCAACCGCTCCACTCAACTACTCCGACCTTTATCACACACGACTACGCTCCACTTTCCCACCACACCCACAAACGACCGCCCTACTACTCTTAGCACCCACAGAGCGCCCCCAGTCGATTTCATGACCACGGACATCCAGAATCTCAAGTCCTTCGATCCGTTCGCGGAGGCTGATGATGCTGGAGGAGAAGTAAAGTCTACTCAGCAAAACTACATCCATATTCGTATCCAGCGTATGTATACCATCCAATCTTCTGTTATTCGATCTCATCATCTGCGCGACATCGGCGCGACATTCCTTCCCCTCCTCCCCTACGCTTCAAGAAATCGCGCAAGGCTGACGTCAACCCCCAACAGAGCGCAATGGTCGCAAGACTTTAACGACGGTCCAAGGCCTGCCTAAGAAGTTTGACCAGAAGAAGATTCTCAAAGTCATCAAGAAGAAGTTTGCCTGCAATGGCACTGTCGTCGCAGACACTGAGATGGGAGAGGTGATCCAGTTGCAGGGAGACCAGCGCAAAGATGTTCAAGACTTCTTGACCGACAAGAAAGAGGGCCTAGGCCTTGATGGCAAGACCATCAAGGTCCACGGTTTCTAAACTCACAAAGGACGTGGGTGCGATGCACACCGCCGCTCCTCCCGCCGAAGCCGAACGACCGCTCCAAGGTCGAGCCAACGATACGGTCGAGGATGGCCATGCCGGCATGTCGTATATGTGGAACACACATCTGATAATGCTGAGCCGCGGTGTCGCAGAGCAGATATGTCACGTTGGAGGAGGATTACCGCTTTCCTATCTCCATCTCCTTGAAAGAAACAGATATATACATTTGAGGTTTCGCACGCTGAAGTATCAGGTGCTCTAGGACGACGGGATGGCGATTGAGATGCTAGTTTCGAGGAATGCAATGAATCAGGGAGTGCTTTTACATTATTCATTGTTTCAAGTGGCCAGCTTCGGGGTATTCAACGGTTACTATGTCATGATATGCTCTACTCATCATCTTCGTACATGACTTCTGTGATAGCATCGTTCTTCTTAGGCGCTTTAGCCTCCTGTTTCCGATACAGACTAGCTAACTCCTCTGCCTCAGTAGCCTCATCGATCCCCTTATCCTCTCTGACCTTCAAGAATCTCGGAAACCTCGTACTCAACCCTCTCTCCTCACTGACCAAGCCAATCGCAGCCGTATACGTCGGACTCAAAGTCAAGTCGGCGAAAGCTACCTCCCAGACCTCTTGCGGTTCGAACCAAACAACTGGCGTTCCAGCTCCACCATTGTACTCTACATAATGGGGTTTGCCAGAGAGCACGTTTGTGCAATCTGGGTCGTCTGGGTCGTACTTTGCGCGGTTGGCTTTGTAAAAGGTGTCAGTAAAGCCGGACATGCATTTTGTGACTGCTTCTAGTTGTCCAGTTTCTGCGTTGCGGATGGCAAGGAGGATAGGTGACCACCATGCTGCCTTCCGACCAGAACCATGAAAAGCGGCAATGGGAATCAGGTCGAGAGTCTCGGAGGTGGTACTATAGTCCTTCTTCACTTTGAGCCAGCTGTCTAGACGCTTATCCGGTTCGTAAGTCGATAAGAGTGCTTTACGGCGGCCAGATGTCTTTGGTTCGTCTTTTTCGGTTTCGTTAGAATTCGACTTAGCTTTGGACTTTGCGGGCTTCTTTTTCTTGGGTGTTGGTGGAAGCGAGGGCGTCTTCTCAATAGCTTCGTCGATTTCGGCGAGTAGGTCGGGGTTAGGGAGGTTGTCAAGAATCTTCACCATGATGCCTTCGCACTTGATTTCCAAGGCACTTTGGAAGAAGGCTTGGACTGCTTCTACGTCGGCGGACGTAGCATCTAGGCTCTTGACCCACGTAAAATGATGTGGTATCTCCACAAACAGACTTCTGAGTAGAGACCTCCGTTCTCTGAAAGGCCGGTTCAGTAGCTCTTCGCCATTCAGATACATCAGGTCGAATGCAAACAGACAGACGTCGATCGTCACGGCACCGACGACGACGTCTTTTCTTGCGCGATTCGCAAGTGTTTGGAATGTCTTGAGGTCTCCGCTCTCCCGATCGACAGCTACAACTTCGCCTTCAAGAATGAAGCTCGAGACGCCCTCTCCTCGTATCTTAGGCACCAGCGCTACCAAATCCGGATACTTGTCAGTCATCACTTCCAGGTGTCGTGAGAAGATTGTGACTTTGCCCTTAGCATCACAATGCACCTGCGCTCTTTGTCCATCGTACTTGTACTCGCAGGCGAAGTCGCGTCCTTGTAGTTTTGTGAGCATCTCGCCCATATCGCGAGTGATGCTTCCTAACATAGGTCTTAAAGGGATGTGTAGTGACAACCCACAGCGCACGAGTAGTTCGTCGCAAACACCAATCTCGAGAAGCACAGGTATAAGGTCGTTGTAGTTCGGTCGTCGAGCGAAACATGCCTTTACGATCTCTTCG